GCGGGCTCTTAATGACTAGACGCCGGGGAGGGGGCAGGCGTTCATTGATAAAAACGCTGGGCTCCCTGGGGCGCGAGCGCGGCGTAGCAAATCCTGGCAGCGCCTCGCGCCGTCCCGGCCTGGAGGAACACAGAAATTAGCCCGGCCGGCGCTGCGCCGCACCACCCGCATGGAGCCCGCGGCAGGCTTCCTGTCCCCGCGACCCTTCCCGCGTGCGGCCGCCCCGCCAGCGCCCCCGGCCGGACCCGGGCCGCCTGGAAGTCCCAAGCCTGGATCTGAGCCAGAGGTGCTGGCCGAGACTCCAGCACCGGACCCTGGGCGCCTCATCACCGACCCGCGGAGCGGCCGCACCTACTTCAAAGGCCGCCTGTTGGGCAAGGTGAGCTGGGGAGTGGTGCCAGCCAGGGTAGGGGAGCCTTGCCGACTTCTTTGCCCGCGCGGAGCGGGGCGGGGCCGCTTGGCCTCGGCATGGGGACGTCTGCGGGCCAGACCTGCCTGATACCTTCTCCTCTTAGGGGGGCTTTGCCCGCTGCTATGAGGCCACTGACACAGAGACCGGCAGTGCCTACGCGGTCAAAGTCATCTCGCAGAGCCGCATTACCAAGCCGCATCAGCGTGAGAAGGTGAGCCAGGGCCCAGGCCCAGCGGGCGACGGGTGGGGTGGGGACGGTGACGAGGGAGCCCTTGACGGATGATAACCCCGCGCCACCACTGCAGATCCTAAACGAGATTGAGCTGCACCGCGGCCTGCAGCACCGCCACATCGTGCGTTTCTCGCACCACTTTGAGGATGCTGACAACATATACATTTTCCTGGAGCTCTGCAGCCGAAAGGTGAGGGATGGTGGAGGTGGGAGAGGGAGTAGGGACCTTAAGACCCAAAGCTGGAGTCTTGTTCTTCCTCGGCGAGCACACGGAGGGAGGGTCGGGGAGGGGAACGAGGGGCTGAGGCCGCGGCTCTCTGCAGTCCCTGGCCCACATCTGGAAGGCCCGGCACACCCTGTTGGAGCCAGAGGTGCGCTACTACCTTCGGCAGATCCTTTCCGGACTCAAGTACTTGCACCAGCGGGGCATCTTGCACCGGGACCTCAAGCTAGGTGAGACTCCTGGGCCAACAGGATGGGGGGTTGGGGAGGCAGAGAAAAAGGCGTCTGACACACTTCTCCGCCCCTGTTCAGGAAATTTTTTTATCACTGAAAACATGGAACTGAAGATGGGGGATTTTGGACTGGCAACCCGGTTGGAGCCCCCAGAGCGTAGGAAGAAGTGAGTGTTTGAGTAGGGGGGTGGCCACAGTCTGTGTGACACAGATGACGTGAGTGACAGACACTGGGTGTATCTGTAGGAGGCACGGTGATTGCCTGATGTGACCCTGTGATTGATGGGAGGGATGATGGGCTGTGTGTGTGTGTGCAAAGGTGGCGGTGGCAGCCTCAGTTCCTGGGAATGGTGGAGAGGCTGCTGGTCCTATGTGTGTGAGTCTCTAAGATGGATGGGGTGTAAGGATTCTTGAAGGTGTGTAACCAGTCCTGTGTGTGAATGTGGTTGGTGACATAAGCAGCGTGTGTGTGAGACAGACTGAGTGTGGAGATGGTGTACATGACACCCTGTGTGTGTCAGAAAACCCTGTTGTGACCATGAGGACTGGGTGTGTAACACAGCATGTGTGGCAGTAATACTGTGTAGTAACACAGCAGTAGTGTTCATGGAGGATGTGACAGCTGATGTTAGTGTGTACGGCACAGACCATAGGAGGTGACAGCCTGTGGTGGGAGTAGGCGAAGGAGGAAGGGACCAGTGATGAACCCTCTGTTGACCCGGAGGAGGGGGCTGGGTTAGGGGTCAGGAACTCCCCCGTCTTGCAGAGTTGCTGAGCAGCTGGGCCAGGCGGGTGGGCAGGGACTCAGCTGCCATCCCTGGCTCCATTGTCTCGGAACAAACAGGAGTTCTCTGGCCTTTGGTGACAGGCAGCTGCTTTGTCTGGACTCTGAGTGGGGGCAGGGATGAGGGGCCATCCAGGCTGCCTCTGAACCTTGCCTTCTCCTCCTTCCTATCCTGTCAGGACCATCTGTGGTACCCCCAACTATGTGGCCCCAGAAGTGCTGCAGAGACAGGGCCATGGCCCGGAGGCAGATGTGTGGTCCCTGGGCTGTGTCATGTGAGTGCCAGGGTCATGTGTACACAGAGGGTGGCTGGGGGGCCTATGTTCCACTTTACTCCTGACCACCTTTTCTCTGCCCCACAGGTACACGCTGCTATGTGGGAGCCCCCCCTTTGAGACCGTTGACCTGAAGGAGACGTACCGCTGCATCAAGCAGGTTCACTACACGCTGCCTGCCAGCCTCTCACTGCCTGCCCGGCAGCTCCTGGCCGCCATCCTTCGAGCTTCACCCCAAGACCGCCCCTCAATTGACCAAATCCTGCGCCATGACTTCTTTACCAAGGTTTGTAGTGCCCCAGACACATCCAGTCTGCAGATTCTCCAGGGATTGAATTGGGAGCAGGTGACAGGACTCCTGGGCTGCTCTTCTCTGCTCACATGCTTTCTCTCCTCAGGGCTACACCCCGGACCGTCTCCCTGTCAGCAGCTGTGTGACAGTCCCAGACCTGACACCCCTTAACCCAGCTAGGATTCTGTTTGTCAAAGTTACCAAGAGCCTCTTTGGGAGAAAGAAGAACAAGAGTAAGTCTGAGACCTCAGTGGATTTGAGGGTACAGAGCAGCAGGGGGCTTGTCACATACATGTGGGGGTGTGAGTGTAGGGTCCCTGGGGACCCCTTGGGATAGCATACATTACACAGGCACTTGGCTATGCCTGTGTCATCTCTTCAGGAAGCAGGGGGTCTGGGCAGGATTCTGAGGGTTCTATCTCCCCACCCCCTCCCAGATAAGAACCATCCAGAGGAGCGGGACGACGTCTCCGGCTTGGTGAATGGCCTCACTCGGACATCCATTGGCCATCAGGATGCCAGGCCGGAGGTGAGGTGCTCACGTGGACGGTGTTCCCTGACTCACCCCCACCCTAGCAGCTGCAGGAAGCCTGGGATAAAAGAGGCTGGTGAAGCATCTAGCCTCGTGGTGGCCTAATTGGCTGTGTCTCATCGGTCAGGCGGGGTGACCTGGGGTGCCCTGGGTGCCAGGGCAAGGCGAGCCATGGACTCTCAAGGATTTGGATTTCGGGGCCTGTCTCACTCCTTTTCCCTACCCAACCCTCCAGGCTCCAGCAGCTTCAGGTCCAGCCCCCCTCAGCCTGGTAGAGACAGCACCAGAAGACAGCTCACCCCGTGGAACACTGGCAAGCAGTGGAGATGGTGAGCCACCAGGAGGGTGAAGGGTGCTCGAGGTTGTGGGGGCTGAGACCAAGCCCGGAGGGAAGGAGTGGGTGGAGAGTCATCGTCTAGGACTTGTGGGACTATTGCCTAATTCTCAGTGCCCTGTTCCCTTCAGGATTTGAAGAAGGTCTGACTGTGGCCACAGTGGTGGAGTCAGCCCTCTGTGCTCTGAGAAACTGCCTGGCCTTCATGCCCCCAGGTGAGGCTGGGGCCTGGTACATGTCAGTGGTGGTGGAAGTTCTTTGACTGGGAAGCCAGGAACAAGTCCTCATTCATACCTCTTCTATGACAGCTGAACAGAACCCAGCTCCCCTGGCACAACCAGAACCTCTAGTGTGGGTCAGCAAGTGGGTTGACTACTCCAACAAGTTTGGCTTTGGGTATCAACTGTCCAGCCGCCGTGTGGCTGTGCTCTTCAACAACGGCACACACATGGCCCTGTCGGCCAACAGAAAGTAAGTGCTACAATGGGGCGCCTTGTATCCAGGCCTCTGTACTCAGCAATACTGCAACTTAGTGTGTGTTCCCGGGCTCCCGGTCCTGCAGTCTCTGCGGAGGGGGTGTGGGTGCAGGGCTCCCTCTGACCTCTGTCTCTGCTTCTTCCTCCAGGACTGTGCACTACAACCCCACCAGCACTAAGCACTTCTCCTTCTCTGTGGGTGCCGTGCCTCGGGCTCTGCAGCCTCAGCTGGGCGTCCTGAAGTATTTCGCCTCCTACATGGAGCAGCGCCTCATGAAGGTTTGTGAACTGGGTTGGGGTGGGGTACATTCAGGACTAACACATCCCGATCCCCTTCTAGTCCCCTTTGGGGGTGGGTGGACAGTGGGGTGGGTGTTGAAGCTAGAAGCTGACCCTCAAAGGAGACATGGATAGGGAGAGGACTGACTGGTGTCAGACAAGTGACCTGCCTCTGTTCCCAGGGTGGAGATCTGCCCAGTGTGGAAGAGGTGGAGGTACCTGTGCCCCCACTCCTGCTGCAGTGGGTCAAGACCGATCAGGCCCTACTCATGCTCTTTAGTGATGGCACCATCCAGGTAAGAGCTCCGCCTGGAGTGGGGGGTGAGGACTGGGAGGTCCAGGGTGCTGGAGAGGAAACGATCTGGGCGCGAGGCCCTGACCACTGCCACCCTCCTGTGCACAGGTGAACTTCTACGGAGACCACACCAAGCTGATCCTCAGTGGCTGGGAGCCCCTCCTTGTGACTTTCGTGGCCCGCAATCGCAGTGCTTGTACTTACCTCGCTTCCCACCTTCAGCAGCTGGGCTGCTCCCCAGATCTGAGGCAGCGGCTTCACTATGCTCTGCGCCTGCTCCGGGACCGCTGCCCCGTCTAGGCCACAGTCTGCGGGCCCGGCCACCACTCAGGCCCTCAGGCCTGAGGTCTGTGCCTGTCAGGCCCTGGCCCTCGCCTTCGTGGCCCTCCCTGTTTCTTTGGTGCCTCACTGGGGGCTCTGGGCCGAATCCCCCAGGGAATCAGGGACCAGCTTTACTGGGGTTGGAGGCGGCCTCCCACCCCTTCTCCAAGAAAAGCCTGAGCCTTAGCCCCCCGCTAGGGGGCGTTATTTATGGACCACTTTTATTTATTGACATTTATTTATTGGGATGTGAGCCCCACGAAGGGCCTCCTTCTGGGATAATAAATCGTTTTTGCAGAACTCGAGGGCCTCCTCACTCGCAGTAGAGTCCGTGGACCGTGGCCACGGCGAAGAGCGAGGCGTTGGTGACGGCAGCCGAGGCCAACCCGTCGCGCGCCGCGTCCCAGAGCGCGCGGCTGACCACGCGGACGCCCTGGCCGGCGCGCTGCCCCAGCACCACGCTGCACACCAGCTTGTAGCGCGGCGGGCTGAGCTCGCGCAGGCGCATGCGCACCAGCTCGCACAGCTCCTGCGCCAGCCGCCCGGCCTCTGCGCCCGAGTAGCATGCGTCCCGCAGTCCCGCGGCCAACGCAGCCTCCAGGGCCTGCTGTGCACGCGCGGCCTCCCAGCGCTCCCCTGGCGCCGGCTCCGTGCGGTACGAGGGCGCCATCCGGCGGGTGGGCGCCAGGGGCAAGCCAGAAAAGCTGACCCGTGAGCCTAGAGGGGGCACGGGGCCCAGGGATGGGCGTCGACCCCCAGGGCCTGCACTTGGCCCTGCCAGCGAGTTGCGGCGTGAAAAGGACAAGACCGGACCTAGCACGGAGCCACGGCGGGAGGCCGGGCCCAGGCCAGCTGATCGGGTTTCATCGATGCTGGGCAGGTGGCCTAGAGGCCGCACTGCTGATAGTTTCAGCCCATGGTCTTTGGCCTCCTCCTCCTGGCGTCCGGGGGGCACAGGCCTGCCAGCCATGGACCTGCTGGCTGGAAGACCCACGCTTGGATGGGATGGCTCTCACTAGCTATTTTTGTACACCATCTAGTCTCTTACTCAGTGATGAGTTTTTACCCTCTAATCCCTCCTTACCTGTGTTTTTCGGACCGGTGAATCAAATAGTTCCCGGCTGCGTGGATTCCTGGGTGCTTAGAGTGTTAAGGGCTGTTAGGGACAACAAGGGAAGAGACGCTGCTCAGACTGCCATCTCTCTCTCCCTACCCCCTGAGCTCCACTTCACCTGGGCACTATGGAGGTTAGACAAGTGCGCTCCAAGTACACCTCCCTTCCACCTGACTCACCAGCAGAAACTGGGCTGTATCTGCCCTCTGCCTGCGCCTAGACAGTGGCGCCTCCACCCCCTAACCAGAGGAAGGGACAGACAGACCCAGCTCCTTCAGCTCCCACAGATCCTTCTAGCCCCTGTGAGTCTTGAATCCAGCCATCCTCCACCCCCTCCCTGCTGTTAGGGTGTCTGGCAAAGCCTGGGGCTAGGTGACTCAGGATGGTCCTTCCAGCCTCTGTTTTTGGCTTCTGGCCCTACCTCCAGAGTCAGTTCTGGGATGGCTGCCTTCTTTTCCCCAAACTCCTTAGGCACCTGAGCCACCTGCAGCCTGTGTCCTCCAGGCTCTCTCCTAACAGCCCTTGCCCGACTGGCCTGACTGGCAGGTAGGAGGGTAAGGGCCCCTTGCCTGTGTTGTGGAGTTGCCCTGGGTTGCTGGGCAAGCACTCCTCTTCTTCCTGGTTCCCTCTCACCAGTCCTGGCTCTGGCTTAACCTGGGAGTGTTACTGTAAGCACGTGTTGAATGCCGGTTGGCTGAGTCATCAGGGGAGGGGGATCAACAGGGGGTTAAGCCCAAGGACATACAAGTGTGAGTGAAGGGGCAGAGGTAGAGGCTGGCTCTGGTCAGAAAGGTGTCCCCCTACCCCAGGGCTCTTGAGCCACTGTCCATTTCTCCCCTTGTGAAGGCTGGCTCTCTACTTGTCAGCAAGTCACAGAAGCCTGGGATATGGGGAAACCCTGAGGCTACTGGGTGGCTGCTCAGGAATCAGGATCCGGGCCTACAGGAAGGAGCACGTCATGGCCCTATTAGGACAAACATTTCCGTTCCTTGTATACAGCTAGGGTGGGGCTTGGATGACTTCCTCAGTTCTGGGCTGGGGGAGGGGGGAGGGAGACCCATTGGAACTCAGATCTGATGCAACAGTGGTGACTTCACTCCTCAGTGAATCCTGCTGACCTACCTAATTAAGTGTCCTGGGCCTAGTCCCCCCCATCCACACCTCTTGTGTGCCCTAGTGCTGAGACTGCCCCCACCTGCACTGTGGTTGCACATCAGGGACGCCAGAGACCATGATGCCTCTGTCAGTGTTGTCACCTCCTCACCTGACCCCTCTCTGGGAGGTCCAGGACTGCCACCTCCCAAACAAGCCAGGTCTGGACCCTGAAAATGGTCCATGGAGACAAGGACTTTCCCTGTTGATGGGAGTTTTTCGGGTCCGGTTAACCTGTATGCTTGTAGGGGGAGGGGAGGGAGGGGACACGAAATTTGAACTCTGAACCCTGGTCAGGCAGGGGCCAGGATGCTAAGACCCTCCAACTCTGCTTAGGGCCCCTCTAGGGCTGAAGTTTTTCCTGGGCCTGTGGGAGCTGGGCGGGGCCTCCTCTCAGGCCGGCTCTAGTTTCCGTGGAAACCCACAGGCTTCCCACCCCAGCTGCCTGGGCAGGCTCCCAGCTGGGGCCTCATCCGCAGCCAGCCTCTCCTCCCCAGTCCAGTCTGCTCCACCTCGGCCTCTCTTGGTCACCTCCCTGAGTCCTCAAGCCTCTGGCCTCTTCCACTGGCCTCTGATGCCTTCTGGGCCTCTCCTGCCTCATTCCTAAACTTTAGCTTCTCAGCAAACAGGCCTCTGGATCTCTTGCCCCTCCCTCTCAGGCCTTTCTAGCTCTTCACCAGCTCTAGGGCTCAGCCAGGCCTCCTGCTCCTTCTATGTACTGTCTGTCCCACACATAACAAGCCTCCTAGGCTGTTCCTCCTGCTTAGTCCCCTGCCCCACCCATGGAGACCCCAGGACTGGTTGTGTATGGGGAGGCTGCGCCTTTCTCCACAGCACTCCGGAGCCTCGTCAACAACCCCTTATACAGGTGAGAGGGGCGCCTGTCTGTGGGTTTTCCGTAACTGGCTCTGCTGGGAGCCATGACTCTGAGGAATCTGAGTACAGAGGAAGTGGAGAATTAGGACTTGACCCTTCTCCTGGGTGAACTCAGCCTGGGGAAGTGGAGTGTAGAGGATGGCTACTGATCACGCAGTATCTGTGACAGCCTGAGAGCCAGAGGTGGGGGCAGTGGGGACTGGAGCTCAGAGCAGCTATGTGACTTCAGGGAAAGGCCTTCCTTTTTTGGATCTTGGGCTCCTGGCAGAGAAAAGCCCTCTGCCCTCTGGATCCTGAGAAAAGGAATGTAACTTGAGTGCCTCCCTGGGGAGGCAGAGGAGCAGACGATCCTATTCTGGGAATTGGGGACTTGTAAGGGGAATGAAGCTCAGGAGACTGAGCCAGAGGCGCAGACAGGAAGTAGTTCACGAGTACCGCCTGGGGCTCACTGCCTGTAGTGTCTGGAACCGGGGACCTAGTACGGGGGCCGGGCCAGTCAGAAGAACCAGAATGCAGCTTTCTGTCTCCACTGCTTCAGAGCTGGGTCCTCCTGCAGGTTGGCAATTTCTGTAACCCTACTGCTTTGGGTGTTCCAGTCTGGTCTGAGCAGTTCCACCGCTCCCCTCAGGCCTTGGACTTGAGACTAGAAGGCTCCAGGAAGCTCAAGCTTCATCATCTGTCTCTTACCCACTGTGCTGTTCAGAGGCCCAGAAGCTGGGGCCGGAAGTGATCATGAAAATGGAAAATGTGGTCTGGCCCCATGATAGTGCATCACTGACGTGCCTGTTTGCAGTCAGTGCCCTCCACACCCTCCCTCCTCCCCCCTCCTGTCTGGAGGAGGCTAAAAAAGCTGAATTTGCAGTCTGTGGAGAAAAAGCCAAAAAGAGTTTCCCTTCACCAGAGACACAGGCTAGGGAGGAGAGAGACATTGGGATTGATCTTGTTATCAGCCCTGGTGCCCCCTCAGTGATCAAACATAGCCACCTAATGTTAGCCATCCTAGGGTCTGGGATGAGCATTCCATTTCAGGGATGAGAAACCCGAGAGGCAATAGGTCAGAAATCTCTTCCCTAGGCTTCTCTCGCCTAGGTGGAGCTGTGATTAGAACCAGGCCTGTGTGACCCAGACCTTTGGCTAGAGAGACTACCTCTTATATGGCAGATAAGGAAATGGAGGCCCAGAGAGGGCAAAGGCAAAGTCTAGAGTTACACAGAGACTCTAGCCTCTTCTTCCTGGCTCTCTGCCCCTCTCTCCCATAGTGATGTTCGCTTTGTGGTCGGTCAAGAACGGCAGGAGGTGTTTGCCCACCGGTGCTTGCTGGCGTGTAGATGCAACTTCTTCCAGCGACTTCTGAGCTCAGAGCCAGGCCCTGGAGTGCCTAGCCCTGTGGTGCTGAGTACCGTGCCAGCTGAGGCTTTCCTGGCAGTGCTGGAGTTTCTGTATACCAACAGTGCCAAGCTGCAACGCCACTCTGTGAGCCCACTGGGCAAGGGTCTGGGTGGGCAAGATCTGGGTGGCTGAGTGGCGGGAAGACTCTCTTCTACTATGCCAACCACCCACTCTGCAGGTGCTCGAGGTGTTGACGGCGGCTGTGGAGTATGGGCTGGAGGAACTTCGAGAGGTGGGTTCATGGGCAGCCGTCTAGTTTCCTCTGCCTCTTATGGGCGTGGTTCACACCCTGCCTCACACACCCGCTAACCTGGAGAGGAATGTGCACCAATACAGAGAGAAGAAGTATGGGTATCTCTATATAAACAGGCATTGATGCATGCCTGTGTGCAAAAGGATATGTGTGTGCCCTGTGGGGGCATATGGAGATGTAGATACTGGGATAAGTTATCCTTGATCCCTGTTCTTCAAAGAGAGACAGATACAAGAAAAACGCTTAACCCAGTGGCTTAAGAAGTGTGACAGAGAAGGGCATATGGTGCTGAGGTTGTACAGTCTCTCCAGTCTCACCACGAGGGAGAAGAGGGGAAGACTTCCTGGAGAAGGAAATATTTGTGTTGCATCGGGTAGGATAGGTAAGATTGTTGTTCAGCGGGGAGAGGAAAGATGGTATTCTAGTCACAGAGGCACAAAAAGAACTGGTGAGACATTCAGTGTAGCTAGACTAAGAGGACTGAGTGTGAAAGGAAGAGAGGAAGAGATGAGATTGGGGAGGGTGCCAGGGGGTGGTTCCTGTAGGACCTTCAAGAATTTGGACTTCTTTGACCCAGAGGGCAGTGGAGTTTCACTGGAGGTTTTAGGTAGTGAGGATTTGGATGCTAAGAGGAGAAGGGATTGGGAGCCATGGGAAGGGCTCACCAATCCCGTAGGGACAGGGGTGGCAGTGGTTACCCGGGAAAGAAGTGCCTGCCTTTGAGAGAAGTGGAACTGGCACTGTTCATAGTTCAGTTGCTGTAGAAATTGAGGTTGCCCTAGCAACCAGTGTTGTTGTTCAGTGGCTGTTGTGTCTGACTCTTTGCGACCCCATGGACTGCAGCACAGCAGGTGTCCCTGTCCTTCATTATCTCCGAATTTGCTCAAACTCATGTCCATTGAGTCACTGATGCCATCCAACCATCTCATCCTCAGTCTCCCCCTTCTCCTCCTGCCCTCAGTCTTTCTCAGCATCAGGGTCTTTTCCATTGAGTCTGTTCTTCACATCAGGTGGTCAAAGTATTGGAGTTTTGGCTTCAGCATCAGTCCTTCCAGTGAATATTCAGGGTTGATTCCCTTTAGGATTGGCTGGTTTGACCCTGTGAACTGGCATTACCCAGGGCTTTTCTGGATGTGGGGGGGTGAGAGGGAGATGTCACAGATGAATTCAAGTTTCTGGTTAAAATAGTGTCTTTGAGTTCAGAGAAAATTGTGGAGAAAGATAAGTGTCTTGAAAGAAAAGGAGAGTGGAATTTTCACACAGCTCTTATCTAGTCTGATTAGTGAGGAATGTACTAAAAAGGTGGGCTGCTGGGCTTGGCTTTGCTAGTTCCTAGTCTCAGGCCTTGGTGATTCCCTGCCTCCCTTGGCCTGGGAGGTCTCCGTGGGCCTGGGGCTGCTAGTAGCCTGGGTGGCTCACTGCTCCAAGGCTGTTCACTCTTTCTGGGGCTGGGGCCTTGAAGCGGGGACATCTGGGCACAGCCCACCTTCATTTCTGTTCTCAGCTGTGCCTGGAGTTTGTGGGGAAGGCACTGGACGTGGAGCTGGTTTGCGAGGCCCTGCAGGTGGGTGCCGCTGGACAGGCTTGCAGGAGGTTCCGGTGTGGAGGGCCGGGCTGCCCGGCCTCTCCATCTCCAACCTGACCTCCTTCATTCTGCTCTCAGGTTGCTGTAACCTTTGGCCTGGAACAGCTGCAGGAGCGTTGTTTAGCTTTCATTGAGGCCCACAGCCAGGTACTCCCCGCTGCATACTCCCTACCCCACACCCCTCCTTCTGCTCCTCCCTGACCCAATCGCGGACCCATAGGAGACCCTCCGGACCCGTGGTTTCCTGGAGCTGTCCGCGCCCGCGTTGCTGCCCCTGCTGCGTAGCGACAAGCTTTGTGTGGACGAGGCCGAGCTGGTCCTGGCGGCCCGGAGTTGGGCGCGCGTGGGCGCGGTGAGCAGAGGCTGAAGGGAGTGGGAGGTAGGGGAGCTGAAAGAGGCTCTAGCTGCAGGAACCAGGAGAGCAGGCGGTTGGGCAGGTGCCCCCGCCCGCCCAGATTCAGTGCTGACGTCCGCAGGCGGTGCTAGAGCGGCCTGTGGCCGAGGTGGCGGCCCCGGTGGTGCGGGAGCTGAGACTGGCCTTGCTGGCTCCGGCAGAGCTGAGCGCCCTGGAAGAACAGAACCGGCGGGAGCCGCTCATCCCGGTGCGGACGCGGGGAACACGTCTCGGATCCACTCCGTGGTGTTGGGGGAGGCGAGGGGGGCGTGGTCCAGGGTCTGCGGGGTAAGGTGGGCACTGCGGGACTCCGCGGTGATTCGCATCCCTTGCAGGTGGAACAGATCGTGGAGGCGTGGAAGTGTCACGCTCTGCGGAGAGGAGATGCGGCCCGGGGCACCCCGTGCCGCCGCCGGAGGGGCACCCTGCCCCGGGAGCATCATCGCTTTTTGGATCTGCCCTTTAAGTGACCAGTGCCGTGACTTGCGAAGCATTATGCGCCTCTATTAAACTGCAGTTCCCAACAAGCTCCGCGCTCAAAGCGGGCTTCCGCTCCCAGAATGCCGGGCGAGTGGGGGCGGGAAGGACCAATGTGTGCCAAACGCAGGCGCTATGGGTGAGGTTCCGGCGGTGGGCGGGCCTGAACGCCGCGGTCTTCCGCTGAGCCTTGGCCTTCAACCCTGCGCAAAGCGCGAAAGCAGTTTGTTTGCCCGCGTGCTCTGCCTCTACAGCCTGAGTCTGAGCACTATCGCCCGCCTCCTTTACTCTTGTAATTCTCACATATCTTTTCAACTCAGCCCCGTCTTTAACTCCAGACCTGGCTCCTGGCAATCTCTCTCCACATGTCCCACAGTTACAAAATTGCGCTCGCCCCTCATCTTTCCCCAGTTCTGCCCCCATCATATTTCTCATCTCCATGGGTCCAAAGCCAGAAACCTAGATGTCATCCTTGCTTTATTCTTCTTCTTCACATTTGCCTCCCATGGCTTCTATTTCTTAAGAGACTGAAAGCAGAATATGCCGCCCCAAAACATGCTGTTTTGGCATAGGGTTGTTTTAAGCTGATTATTTTGAGAAAAAGGAGACGTTTTGAAAACAGAAAAGTTACCCTTTTGTAAGGGAAATTTTTATAAACTAAATCTACATTGGTAAGGGTGTCTCCCTCTTTGAACAGAAGGATGACTAATTTACAGGAGACTTCCTGTGAAATCACTAAGATCTGCTTAATAAACCTTGCTTTCGGTGCTTTTTCCTGACGGCCTTCCCACATCTGGCCTCCCCACACTTTTTTTTCTTTTGTCATTAGCTGAAGGAAGTATTTAAGCAGGTATTTTCGGCCACCTCTGGGAGTTACTGATTTTTCCCTGGGTATCTTCCATGTATATGTGAGATATACATGTTAATAAACTTACATTTTTCCCCCTCTGGTTAAGCTGTCTCATTACAAAGTTCTCAGCCAAGAACTCAGAGAGTAGAGGGAAAATTATTTTTCCTTTCCTACAAGATCTTTCCAGTTGGTTCACTTCTCTTATCCCAGTTCAACCAGTCCTATCTGTGGCAGGAATTACTGCCACAGGCTCTTACTAATCTTCCTGCCTTCACTCCAGTGGAGACCTCCTCCCCATTTCCTACAGTGCCTCTTGACCCGTCTAAAATTGTCAGCCCTACGCCCTTTAAGTTTCTCTATTTACCCACTGCCCTCTGGACAAAATAGAATGTTTCACTTTTAGAGCACTCAAAATACTGGTGGTTCCAAACACTGGTAACTCAACTACTACCTTTGCAAAAATTCACTGGTCCTCAGACTTCCCTGGTGGCACAGTAGATAAGAATCTGCCTGCCAATGCAGGAGAAATGAGTTCCATCCCTGGTCCGGGAATATTCCACATGCTTTGGAGCAACTAAGGCCGTGGGCCCAACTACTGAACCTGAGCTCTAGAGGCCTCGAGTCTGCAACTACTGAAGCCTGAGCAACTAGAGCCTGTGCTCTGCAACAAAAAAAGCTATAGCAATGAGAAGCCCTCACACCGCAACAAAGAGTACCCCCCACTTGCTGCAACTAGAGAAAGCCCATGCACAGCAATGAAGACACAGCACAGCCAAAAATCAAAAACAAAAAACCACTGGTATTCTATCCCTGGATTTCCTCTCAGTTATTGAGGACTCCCCATGCTCTCCTTTCATTTGTTGTACATTTTGTCTTCCTGAGGATCCAGATCTCCCTGAAGAAAGATCTCTGGGGCCAGGAGTGGAGCCTAATTCATTTCTACTTCCCCAGTCCCTGACACATAATCAGTTCTCTGTAAATGTTCAGTGATGACTTTGCTTTCTTATTTAAATATTATTTTATTCCATTAAGATACTATCATTATGAAATTAGGGATTGACTTTATTTTGGCTGTGCCTCTGGATTTGTGGCATCTTAGTTCCCTGACCAGGGGTCTTTTAATATCTGGTGCCCCCTGCAGTGGAAATGTGGAGTCTTAACCACTGGACCCCCAGGGAAGTCCCTAGTTGACTATTTGGAAAAAAAATAAAGTTGTTCTTCTTTCTCATGGATTTTACATGTTGTACATGGGTTAAAAAGTTATTTGTTATTGTATCTCTCAAGACTGAAAATGTGGTTACCCCTTAATACCACCTGAGATAATGAAAACTGAAGAAGAAAAGCTCTATGTCCTGGAGGACTGGTTTAATTTAGAGCGCTGGTTAAATTAATTATGGTATAGTCCTACAGTGATGTTTAAAAAAACCCCATGGTCTTTGGTGAGAAAAGCACAGTGCAGACCAAGATTCCTTTTGCTGAAAGGCAAGATATTATTGGGAGGAAAAGTTTTCCTTGCTCTTAGCTTGGTAACATTTGAGGAGGTAAAAATCTGTTTGCATGAAGCACACATTTTGAATATGGAGTCGGTAGGATCTGCTAATGGCTGTGAATCTGGAGGACACCAAGTATGAGCTGATAATCACTTAAAAGTCACTTCCCTGGTGGCTCAGATGGTAAAGAGGCTGCCTGCAATGCAGGAGACCTGGGTTCAATCTCTGGGTGGGGAAGATCCCGGGAAAAGAAAATGGCAACCCCCTCCAGTATTCTTGCCTGGAGAATTCCATGGACAGAGGAGCTTGGCAGGCTACAGTCCACGGGGTCACAAAGAGTCAGGAACGACTGAGCGACTTTCACTAAAATCCACAGGCCTAGGTGATCTCCCCTAGAGGGGATGTAGATCTAGGGACAAGAGGACACATTTGGTAGCTAGCCTTGTTCTCTCATAGTGCTGTTTCTGTAGGGCACTTTTCACAGAGATTATGTATTATCTACCCTTTTTCTTTCTTTTTTTTTTAGTTCTTGGTTCCACCAAAAAATTAAGCTCCTTAACGGAAAGAACCGTGTTATCTTTAGAATGGAAAAGTGTTATTGAGTGAGTGTTGAACAGGCACAGTCTGAAGTAAGTCATACCAGCGTGCCTCAGCTAATTTTCCTCAGATAACAACCTCTGGGAAAGGAAGCAGGTAGTCTGATGGGACTTCCCTGGTGACTCAGACGGTAAAGAATCCGCCTGCAATATGGAAGGCCTGGGTTCAATCTCTGAGTGGGGAAAATCCCCTAGGAGCCCACTCCAGTATTCTTGCCTGGAGAATCCCCAGGGAGAGAGGTGCCTGGCCGGCTACTGTGCATGGGGTAGCAAAGCGTTCAACACGACTTGGCATACCCTGGGCGAGAGAGAGAGAGAAAATTACTGCGTTTACCCACTTCCTGTATGCTTGCGTGTTTAGTCGCTTCAGTCGTGTCCGGCACTATGGGCTGCTATCTGCCAGGTCCCTCTGTCTAAGGGATGCTCCACACAAGAATACTGAAGTTAGCTTGCCATTCCCTTCTCCAAGGGACCTTCCGGATCCAGGGATTGAACCTGTACCGCTTAAGTCTAGCTGTGTCTTTACCTCTAGCGCCATCTGGGAAGCTTTTGGTGCCTTATCAGATGAAAAACATCAGGTGACTTTCCGATTTTACCTGCCAGGTTCTAAATGATTTACTGCAGAGCTATGTAAGTAGAACACGTAGGAAAACCCCCACAGTTACAACACAAATAATAACCAACTGAAGTGAAATAGCTCAGTCGTGTCCGACTCTTTGCTGACCCTATAGACTGCAGCCTCCCAGACCTACTCCGTCCATGGGACTTTTAGGCAAAAGTGCTGGAGTGAGTTGTCATATTTTAACCTAGAGAACCTTCTTGACTCAGAAGTTGAACGTGGATCTCTGGCATTACTGGAACACACTTTATTTTTTAAGTTATCAAAGAAATCCTTATATATTTCAGCTTCGCGAGCTACACTAGGAAAAACTAAGTTTTTCTCCATATTTACACAGCCGTTAAATTCTAACTTTTAACTTTAGAAAATGTAGCCTCGTTAAAAAACGAGGCCTCAAAAAATTGGGTAAAGACTCAGAATTGTTCCTCTCCACGGAAATCTTTAGTAAAAGGCGAAAGATTTATACGATCTGAAGAGAAACCAGAGTATGTCTTCGCAGTTCCGCTTGGAACCTCCCAGAGCAAATTAACACTCTGTTCACTTATGGTTGCTCCGCTCCCGCGCGGTTTGGGCACCTTGAGTGGACTTTGCACAGACCGTAGGTTTCTAACAGGTACTGTCCCCTCCAACAGTGGACAAACCCCCGTGGGGCTGGAATTCAAGCGCGTGAAATCATCTTTTCGTGGTGCACTATGGGTATGCAAATTAAAGGCGGCTCCGCCGCTGGGAGACACCACTCACCCGCCAGGCCGGGCGGCGCTGTGGGCACCTCAGGACTGCAGCTCTCTCCTCTGCCGGTCCGCCGGGAAACCGACGCTTCCTTACCGAGGCTGAGGTTAAAGCCCTGTCATTTCATTCTCGCAGACCCCTGCCGTCACCACCCCTTTGGGAGGAAATGGCATCCAACTTACCTGGAAGGATAGTTCCAGTGAATGGGAGGTGGAAACGAGTTCTCCAGTAGCCCCTGTGAAGTCGTGGGAGGTGAACATGGAAAGTAATTCAGCCTGTCTGGAGTAGGGTGTGGTGTGTCTGAATGAGGGTGTGGATCTGGCCTTTAGCTGTCTGGAGAGAGCTGGGAAGATGGCAGAAGCTAGATCCAGTTAGGCCTGGAAAGGACTTGGCTTTGATCTTGTTATATCAACAGTGGGGAGCCATGAAATGGTGTTGAAGTCAGAGGCCTGAGTAGTATACAGTGCCACACGGGGTGGTTTGCCCTGCAAACTCTGGGACTTGTCCCCAAGAGTGGCTGTGGTCAGTGCCCTGGAACCGACTATTCCTGGGGCCGTCCAGCTCCAGTTGGCTAGAATCCTTCAGCTAATGCCATACCACAACACTGTTCAGTGTTTTAGGTTTATTCCCTAACATTCGATATATCACAGACTACAAAAACAGAGAGCACCCATGAAGAAGCCAGGTCATTTCTTACATGAATATTTAATTTACAATCCTAAAAGGAAAAACCAGCGGCCTACCAAATGGACTGTAATCTTCCATTTCACAGATGAAGACGCTGAAGCTCAGAGAGGATGTCTGATTTTTCTGGGGATGGGGGGTGACATCTTTTGCACTGTTCCAGCCTGGTGAGCTCTCCTGCTCTACCCCAAAGCTGCTCCGTACTGACCCAAACACCACTGGACCCAAATCCAGGGTCTATCTCTTGGGCATACCGGAGGCACTCCCTACTCTTGGTTCCAAGCCAACCACCTTCTCTTTTTTGATTCAGTGTTGATTCAGTTGCAGTAGGTGTCCCCCCTCTCCACTCCCAACGTTAGGTCAGAACATGATTTTCTGGCTTTGGCTTGGTGGGGTGGGGTGGGGTGTGAGAAGGCAGTGCTCTGGGGGAGGGACTGTTCCTGGTGTGTGGCTGGAACCCAGGCTGTGTGTGTGTCAGCTGAGACTGAGCCCTGGGATAATTGGAGGGCACTAAAAGACCTCTCCCTCCCATCCATCCACATGAGACTACACCCAGGGCTGTGGCCAGAATCGTCCAGACCTCTGTACAATGGGACTGTTCAACCTTTACAGGACAAACAGCTTAAAGATAGCGCCTCACTGGTTGCTAGTCAAAGCTATGGTTTTTCCACTAGTCATGTACAGATGTGAGAGCTGGACCATAAAGAAGGCTGAGCGCCAAAGAATTGATGCTTTTGTCTGTGGTGTTGGAGAAGGCTCTTAAGAGTCCCTTGGATTGCAAGGAGATCAAACCAATCAATCCTAAAGGAAATCAATCCTGAATATTCATTGGAAGGACTGAGGTTGAAGCTGAAGTTCCAACACTCTGGCCATCTGATGTGAAGAGCCGACTCATTGGAAAAGACACTGATGCTGGGAAAGATTGAGGGCAGGAGGAGAAGTGGGTGACCCAGAATGAGATGGTTGGATGTATCACCAACTCAATGG